ATTAGTTTTGTGAATAAATTATTTATGTTAGCTCATTGCGTCGAGTGTATTTTCTTTCTTTCGTAACAAGATATCTTAAATATTAGTTTTTTATTTTTATCTATTTGTTTGTAGTCTTACACAAGCTTGCTCTAAATAGTTTTCATTGAGTTGATTTAACTTCGGACTTTTACCTTTTCGTGAGTTTTAACTAATAAAGTTGATTTTTTACATATTATACCTAGCATTTATCTTGCGCGAGGGGTATAGGGGGGATCAACGAGATTTGTATTCTAAAACTTTTGTAACTAAATTCTCTTTATACCTGGTAACCTAAAATAGGAAGAAAATTGTTAACACACATGATATCAACTATAATGCTGTGAAGTTACTTTTTTCTTCGTATACGAAAATCAATCTTTTGTACTTGAAAATTACTTTTGTTGTAATAAACAGGAAGAATTGAAAAGATTAAAACATGAAAGACTGCTGGATTGATCAGCAAAGATTTTTTTTCGGAAGTAGGTATCGCCTTTCTTTCGATATCGACAAAATTATTATTCCTTTAAGTTTGTAATCCCAAACAAGTCTTTATCAAAATTTGAATTTTTGATATTAGATGTTAAACTGTTTTTTTTTATGTAATGAATTTCATCTACTAAGTTCAAAATTTTAACAAATTTTTGCATTAAATGAATACTTTACCACCATTTTCGTCACATGGTAAATCCTGTGCACGGCACTGCTATCTAAGACCCGTACGTAATTGCTTTTACTGTACATTAAAACATTTGAAGATTTTTTTTCAATAAACAACAATAGGAGAAAAGAAAACACTTGTTGGGGATTTATGAGATGTACGTAGTCGTCCTCTAGTAAGGACATGATTTAAAAACATTTTCACAGATATTATTTGACAGCACCCTTTTCAGATTAGCTATTAGCTAATATATGGATATACTATGAAATGTGTAATCAATTATTATAAACATTGTTTTTCGTATATTACAAGAGAATTTCCTACTATTTCAAAATTTAAGCTTTCATTTGTCAAAGTTTGTATTGTCCTAGTAACACCATTCACTTTTGTTTATTATGAAACACCACGGCCAACAAAAGTATTTATTAATACCTCCTTATAAGGTTATACAAATAAAGCCGCTCCCTGTTTGCTAAATATTATCAATGAAACACCCTAATTTCTAAGCGATTAATAACTAATATTTCCGTTTTTATGATTACAGAAACAGTTGCCTCGATAAATATGCCTCAAATTGCAAAAATCATTTGGAATAAAGTTGATTACAAATAATTTTCATTAACAAATAAGTTTCGAAGACGATTACAATGACAGAACTGTTCCATTAATTCATAAACTTAAAAAGTTTTAAGTAAACAATATTTCAATAACTTTAAAAACCAGAATTTATAGGAGACAACCGAATTTACTAAAATAACTAAACTTTAATCGCTGTGATGAAAGGTTTTACAAGTGCAGAAAAAGAAAATCTCTTTGTTTTTCTCATGTATATACGCATTAAAATTCCTCAGGAAATATTAGAAGAAACCGATTAAATTAACAGGTAAACGGTCTACAAAGATTTATTAAAAAAGTTTATGATAGGTAGGTACGTCGAATTGATTGATCAAAATAAAATTATTTTAATGACACTTTCATTTTATGGAATGTGAAGAGAAATCATACTAGCAATCTAGAGTTCCTCTGACAGATGTTGAAATAGTGAGATTGAAGTATTTACTGAATAATGTTGAAAGTTATAATATGTAAGTTGTTATATTTACCCAGGTGTGGAACGAAGTTTTCAATACAATTGGATTGCATATTAGTTACCTGGCAATACAATCATTATCTGCTTATTTACGATATTATGTATGTGCATTCGATGTACTATTAAAATTTCCCTTTTAAAATCACAAAATGTATAAATTCGTATAACACAGAACGTCTGTAGTATCTACAGTAGGAAAATTTTTGGGTAATTTTTAGCAGATCATCACGCAGTCAAATTTTCAATAAGAGATATACCTATCATAAATTATTTTTGTAAGTAGATAAATATACCAACCGTGCGTATACAATTTACCTATAAAATTTTCACGTTAGTTATAATCACAGACAGTCGGAAGCAGCTACGGTAATTATAAACTCGCCTTACAATTACATGAAAATAGTAACCGCATTTTGTTTGCATGTGTTATGTAGCCAATACTCATACTGAAACGGATGGATAAAATAAAACAGAAAACAGAGAAAAACAAAAGTAACAAAATACTTAATAGTTAATAAAGTTTGATTAACCAATATGAGTAACTAGAACGTTTATATAAACGGGAATTAAATATTTAATTATATTTCGCATATACCCAAGGGGGGGGTACGCTTCCTCCCTATTCAAAATATTCAAAGAAATAGAATATTGTACAAACCGGCAAATATAAATTGAATTAAGCCATATTAATGTTATTTTATAGCAGTAATATCTTTTTTTTTTACAATTCTGATTGAAACAAGAAAAATCACTGTAATGCAAATCTGTCCTTGTCTATTTTTCGATTCCTTGGCTACTTTTTCGGCTTGGGAGCTCCATATTAATTAAAATTTTTCTTCAATTGTAAACATGTAAGACTCGATGCTTACTAATTNTAAATCAATAGCAATTCTAGTGTTATTGCGATCACACGTTCATCCCTTTTATAAATACAGTACTTCTATCTGGATTTGAAACAAACAAATTAATATTTGACGCAAACATTTCACATACATTGGAATACCGTGCGAATTACGGATAAGCGCTCCAGATATACATAGGTATCCAGTGTGAAATCGGAAAAATCTTTCTATACGCGCACAGGTTTTTCTTTTCCTTTCTGAACTAACAAACTTCACCAACTGGCGCGTCTTGCACGGTGTAGTATAACGAATGATACGATCGCTACGTCAGACCAGGTGAGACCCGATACACCTGTACATCGTACCACTGACTCGATTGTACTGACTGAGGTACTTTTGAGTTAGGTACATGGTACTACTACTCACTGAGGTATTAAACACTGCTCTTACTCTCTCTATTCTAGTTACAAATAAGTACGCTTTAGCTATACGATTTTACTTGGTATTATAGCGGTACTTTTAGAGCAGTTCATAAATAAATAATTAGTTTTCCATTATCATTTCAAAAAAACGCAGCCATAGATAAGCCAATCGTTATGACATTATCATAAGGTTGTCAGTCCTAAAAGTGGTTGGACACGTACCTTCACTCTTTCCTATCCTGAGCTAATCTTCGCATTTCTCTAAAACTAGAATATCCCACCATCCTTAACTATTTGCGAACAGTTACCTAATCTAGATCTACCTTTATGCCTCTCAACTCCTGTTTCTGCCTCTAATATGTCTCTGACTAGACCTTCATGCCTGAGAAGGTGTCCTACCAACCTATCTCACCTATTTCTTATTGACTTCCATAGAGTCCTTTGTTCTCCTATTCTTTCTAATACCTCTTCAATTTTAACCTACTCTCTCCACGGCATCCTCATCATTCGCCGGTAACACCAAATTTCGAACGCTTCTAACCTTTTCTTTTCCGCCGCGCCCACAGTCCATGTTTCGCACCCGTACAGCGCCGCGCTTCAAACATACACCTTTAGCAATCGGTATGTAGGTAGCAATAACTAATAAATATTCTTATAGGCATGTTCTTCGGTATTTTGCTATTAAAATTCAAAATATATCGTCAGTAGCGTTAGTGGAGCCCAGGAAGGACCTGAAGGTACTACGGTTGCCGCAAGACGAAAGAATATACGATATACTCCAAATATCGTTCTTGTTGACTGTCTCTACTCTCTTATCTTCGGACTCCCTGATAATAATTCACGTTAATTTCAAGGAGGCCCTTCGATTAGTTTCTGTATTTTGAAATTGCCAGTGTTCCTGCACTTTCTTTTTTTTAATGCCACGAAAACAGTTTTTTTTAAATTAGTTTTGTGAATAAATTATTTATGTTAGCACATTGCGTCGAGTGTATTTTCTTTCTTTCGTAACAAGATATCTTAAATATTAGTTTTTTATTTTTATCTATTTGTTTGTAGTCTTACACAAGCTTGCTCTAAATAGTTTTCATTGAGTTGATTTAACTTCGGACTTTTACCTTTTCGTGAGTTTTAACTAATAAAGTTGATTTTTTACATATTATACCTAGCATTTATCTTGCGCGAGGGGTATAGGGGGGATCAACGAGATTTGTATTCTAAAACTTTTGTAACTAAATTCTCTTTATACCTGGTAACCTAAAATAGGAAGAAAATTGTTAACACACATGATATCAACTATAATGCTGTGAAGTTACTTTTTTCTTCGTATACGAAAATCAATCTTTTGTACTTGAAAATTACTTTTGTTGTAATAAACAGGAAGAATTGAAAAGATTAAAACATGAAAGACTGCTGGATTGATCAGCAAAGATTTTTTTTCGGAAGTAGGTATCGCCTTTCTTTCGATATCGACAAAATTATTATTCCTTTAAGTTTGTAATCCCAAACAAGTCTTTATCAAAATTTGAATTTTTGATATTAGATGTTAAACTGTTTTTTTTTATGTAATGAATTTCATCTACTAAGTTCAAAATTTTAACAAATTTTTGCATTAAATGAATACTTTACCACCATTTTCGTCACATGGTAAATCCTGTGCACGGCACTGCTATCTAAGACCCGTACGTAATTGCTTTTACTGTACATTAAAACATTTGAAGATTTTTTTTCAATAAACAACAATAGGAGAAAAGAAAACACTTGTTGGGGATTTATGAGATGTACGTAGTCGTCCTCTAGTAAGGACATGATTTAAAAACATTTTCACAGATATTATTTGACAGCACCCTTTTCAGATTAGCTATTAGCTAATATATGGATATACTATGAAATGTGTAATCAATTATTATAAACATTGTTTTTCGTATATTACAAGAGAATTTCCTACTATTTCAAAATTTAAGCTTTCATTTGTCAAAGTTTGTATTGTCCTAGTAACACCATTCACTTTTGTTTATTATGAAACACCACGGCCAACAAAAGTATTTATTAATACCTCCTTATAAGGTTATACAAATAAAGCCGCTCCCTGTTTGCTAAATATTATCAATGAAACACCCTAATTTCTAAGCGATTAATAACTAATATTTCCGTTTTTATGATTACAGAAACAGTTGCCTCGATAAATATGCCTCAAATTGCAAAAATCATTTGGAATAAAGTTGATTACAAATAATTTTCATTAACAAATAAGTTTCGAAGACGATTACAATGACAGAACTGTTCCATTAATTCATAAACTTAAAAAGTTTTAAGTAAACAATATTTCAATAACTTTAAAAACCAGAATTTATAGGATCAAAAAAAGATGGTGTAGTTTTTCATTTTAAGAAAGCAGATTAATATTTCCTGCAAGATTTTTTTTAAGGATTATGTTACGCCTTGTATAGGTATAGCTCTTGGAGGTACAAACATGTAAATTACATAATAGTGACCATCCATATGGGTATAGCAATACAAATAGTTACATGGCTTTGTGGTTTATATACACACCCTGCGCAACATGCATTATTATTACTGTCATTATGTGAACAATACCTGACTTGACAGAAATTAGAATAGAATTGGATATTACGTTGAGAAAATTCTGATACTTATTCAAATTGGTTTGGCTGTAAATATCGTACAAATGATCAAGTCGAGCTCATTCTCATAAACGAACAACAATCAGAGGCGGGCTATCTAGGAAATAAACGGGACCAGATATTTTTATTTTTTCGATTAATGTTGCAGAAAATATAGACAAGATTTACGAAATTTCTCTAGCAAATTCTAAATATTCGGGCTTGCCACCAACGTTTCAAGAAAGTTTTAGAAAGTTGGATCCTTTACTCTGAGAATATTTTTGAACGTAATATTTAAAAAGCAACTTAATCATTCTAAGAACTAAATTACATCATTAAATGAAACTGATTCCTGTTCTGAATCTTTTAATCTTAATTTCCTCAAGCCCTAAAATGTTCTTAACAATAGTAAAACCCAATGAAAATAGGATTATTGACAAAAACTGTTTGTAGCAACATTATCATATTTCGCCACTACTGATTGACGAACAGTATTCTAGATAAACCAGAAATTACATCACTGGCTCTCTAACTTTATGGCTACAGACAGGAATACATCCTGCCGACTTTAATAGGATATAATAATATAATTTAACATTCACCATTTATATAATACTAGCTGGGGTACCCCGGCTTCGCTCATGGAGTTGATATAAAATTGTGTAATAGTCGGAATAAAAGGATAAACATTAAAATATAAGAGGTACATAGGTGCACAAAAAAGGTTTCGAATAGTCCACAATGTTTTAGAACATTCCACAACATTCAAGTGTGTTCTGAAACGTTCCATAATGATCTGGAATATTCCAGGCTATTTCCGAACATTCCATAATGTTCTGAAATGTTATGAAATGCTTTCGAATACTCTCGGATGCACGCCCTTTAGGTAAAAACGAAAACTTTCTTCCTGAACGGGAGATAGAGGGTTACTACACAATATAACTCCCTTGATCGTATCGGGACTTATTTCTGAGTTTCAACGGCACGCACATTGTACACTTTCTTTTATAATATGTATATCAATTACTACCTTTAGAAATCTGTAAATAATAAGTCATAAAAATTAAAACATACAGGGTAATAAAGCTATATAATATAGATACAATGTACACATCCACTAAAAAGTTAATTCTAATTTGTAAACGTCCTGTTTTTTTGCACTTATTTTTATTTTAGAAAGTTTTCCGTACAGGGAAGCTGCAACAGTCAACCACAAAAATGTGTATCTAATCTAGTTATCTCGGTCGACTTGGTCATTTTGATACATTAATCGTGCAATTTGCAAAACGTTTAAAGCCCGTAACATATCAATGAGCATAAAAATACTCGCGAACGCCGCCGTTGCACTTAGCGTTAATATAATTATTTCTAATTGACATCGAGACTTGCAAGTGCAACTTGCCATCTTTCGGAACTCCATTATCCCAAATGTTGACGATAAACAATTCAGAATGAAACCAATTAACAGAACGAACGTTTCGAAAGTCTGAAATGGAATATCCACGTCGCAAACCATATATACTGCGATCATCCCCATTTCGATAAGAAGGAAACCACCCAACGAGATGTTCATTAAAATAAATGCTGAAGAATTTTGTGGTTTGTTGCACGAATTATCTGCATTCAAGAGCAAAATTGTACCAAATGTACACAAAACAGCTTCAATCACTTTTAAAGCGAAACCACCATTAACGAAGATTTTATCATGGATTTTCGACATTTTTTTGACAAACTTTTCACATTGACATCGAACGCCAAACTTCATTTTTTATAGTAATTTTATTTGTTTTGTTTTTAAAACTTTTAATGCCTTAGTATTGTTATTTTTATAACGTGGTGATGTGTAAAGTTTCATCTGAAGAAAAGTTCTGCTGAATGAATTTTACAGTAATATATTTTGACTTTGCTTTAGTTTCTATCGGCTTTATGCACTATTAAGTTTGCTTAATAAATACGAACGGTATTGCAATGTTGCATCACAGGCATCCAAATTCTTTAAAAAAAAGAAGAATGCAGTAAGTAATTTGTTGTCTAGAAATTTATGAACTAAATAACTAAACACATACAAGTACCTACCTTATGAACTAAAAATAATGTCGTAGTAAGTATTGTTTCTCTCCTCGACTATTAGAATTAAAAAATAGCTCGAATATAATTTATTATTGTACAACTCAAACGTTTCGCTTACGATTGTGTACTTCCTTAGGGAATTATTACTGGTCAGTTTTGGGAATGAACAATATCAATTCTTCTATTTTAGGCAATACGTATTTTAACATTTTAAGATAAATATAATAATAATATGTTATGAATAATTACAAAACAAATTAG